GTTTAACAAGAGTGGTAGTAATATTTCCTACGAAGTACTAGTATATGTTAACAATAATAGCGTTATCTTTTCTCAAAGAAATAATATATCTCAGCATGTAAATTAAATAAGAAACACTTTAATTACACAGTATAATAAAGTGTAACAGTATGATTACTACGTAGAGCAATAAAAATATCTAAAATAAGGAATGTAAACTTTTATCATAATAGGAGGAGGAATGAACACAGACCTATTAAAATTTTGGTTAGGTTTGCTCTTCTCGGATTCCACCCTCACACTCCTCTCATTTTGATTTCATTTGCTCTAGTTTACTCCAGAGGTAAACGTAATGAAGGGACTCCAGAGGTTTCTACCGATAGCACGTACTATTGCTTGCTAATTCCTTTATTGCACTTAATATATTTAAGAACATATCATTTTTGTTCTTATTCGTATAATGATGAGAGTGTTTTGCCTAGTGTCCTTGAGTTTTTGTTTGGTTAGACCATCTTATGCTTAGTGTCCTTTGGGATAGATATGTATCTACACGTGTCCTTCAATTTATTGTTTAATTATAAATACATATATTTATTTATAACCTAACTATTATATAATATATGTGTACACGTGTTTATATGTTCATAGTAAAATTTATATGTACACTTTTTAGCTTAGTGGATAATGTTACTTTAGTTGTGCATTTTAGATCTAATTTATAAATTTCATTTTCGTATTTAAGTCATCTAAGATATTAAATAATAAGAACTAATTTTCTGGCACATGTATAACCTTAATATTTTCTTTCAAAAATTTGAAAATAAGTTTGAGGATGTTACAGGGAACCCACCCCGGAAATAAATGACTTATCCCGAGCTCATGACGTGAGGAGAAGAGCACAATGGAAGTAGAGGAAAGATAGAGTCAGCTGGTAGGATGCCAGGAGTAGGGTACCGAAGTGGGATGCTATTTTTGGTGCAGGGTTTAATCTCGCGAGGAAAAGAGAAAGTGGGGATGGTAGAGGAGCCGCAACAAGATAGAAGTCTAGAGGAAGGCGAATCTAGAAAACGAAGAGCAGTGGATTTGGTGAACCTGGTGGAAGTACACGTCAATATGGAGGTCGATGGAACCGGGTCAAAAAACGAGGCAGCGGCGGTGCTACTGGATCATCACCGCTTGGAATGTTCTCTTTGGAGGTGGTGGATAGCACATCTTCTCCCTTGCTGGTGGCTGGTAAAACCAGGATTTCTGTTTTCCCTTTTCCTTTTCAACATTCGAACTCTTGTTTTTTGTATTTTTGTCGTAGTAGCAAGTTCAACCATGCTGATAGAATATTATATCATATTGTGGAGTTAGCGATCTGTCACGGCCTTCCGGAGCTAGCTAGTTCAATGTCTCACTTCAAGGTTGCTCTGAGCTATTGCTCTGCTTTGTCCACCTTACTTTTAATATCATTAATAAATTAAATGAGTGTCTTTCTTCTAAAAAACAGAACTAATGAATCATTATTGTAGAAAAAGTAAATGAATAAGTGTAAAAATATGGGGAAAAAAGATAATTGTAAAAAAGTAAAGATAATTGGGTACGGTAAAAAGAAAATTTATAGGAGAAAATGTATCAAACTTTTAAAAAAACAAAAGAAGTATACAACTAGGAATTTAAAATTTAGCATATAATTGAATGAGTACTTATACGTAGTATATTTTTTGCTCAAGTCATCTCACATTGACTTTGAGAAAATCAACATACAAATTAGGAATGGCAATGGGTCGGGCCGGGGCGGGTACTGCAAGACCCGGACCCGCCCCGTGACTTGGCGGGGCGGGTCCGCCCCGCCCCGTGACCTGCACAGGTCCAAACTTGTTGACCCATGACCCGCCCCGCCTCGCCGCAACCTAATTAGCTAGTATGTATTTTTATTTGTGGGAAGTCATTACCAATTGAATCTACATAAAGTTTATCTTTAAATAATAATTAAAAATCAATATATTAAATCAAATTCGTGATACGCTAAAAATTTCAAAAAATAAGGAAAAATTACTCAGACTTGAATAGTTAATCTAATTAGTTATATTAATTATTGAATTTATGTATTAAAATTCTATATATAAAGAAGACATTGATAATAATCCATTATTCATCTCATTCTAATATATATTCATATATTATAAGATCAAGGAATTTATGATTTATCGTATACACAGTTGAAGTATATTTGTAGTCTATCAAATTGACTCTTAAATGAAACATTCATCGATATGGCATTGGAAGTTGGGACTAACTAAAGTCATGCTGATGAGAAACTTGACCCGACCATGCCAAAATTAAAAAAGAAATACGGAGTTCAAACTTCAAGATTAGTTGATCTACATCATTTGTGGTTGACATTTTATATAAAACCACTCATACTAATCATCTAAAATAATTAAATAATGCTCCGAAACAATAATATAATACCGCGCACCCCCCACAATAGATTACGGAGTATCTTAATACTCCGTCCTTGATAACACTCAATCATTATTACGAAGTATAGTGTAATACTAGCGATATCCTCGTAATTAACATTATCTTTTGACCCATGAATTAATCAAGCGAAATTGTTCATTAAATATTTTTAGACAATGCAGAGAAAGGAAGTCAATCATTCAAAAGATTCTTTAAAGAAGATAAAAAAATTTATGATAACAAATTTATGATATCAAGAAATTAATTTATGATAACGGACTGTAAGCAAAAAATTTAGTTTAACACAAACTGTAAGTGAAAACAACAATAATTCTACTATAACATTAATACAAATGATTATAATTATAATGATGATAATTGGCGTATGGTATCTAGATTTAACGTTCACAAATACTCCGTAGCATATTTGAGATGAATCTTAAATCCGATTAAAATATACGTAGTATCTAAACTCAAATAGAGTAATCTTTTTTGACAAATAGAGTAGAATAACATCTCAAAATGTTGTACTAGTATTATGTTATATTATAAATGCAATTATAGTTGTATTATTATTTAAAAATTATAACTATTCTTAATACGCTTTTTCTTCTTATTAAACAAAAAATAAATAAAAACAAGAAATAATATTTGAAATGCTACTAGTGTTATATAACCATTACCATAAATAAAACTACTACGTATATATTAAGCAAAGACCAATAGTTTTAAGCAATGGTACTTCACATTGTAAACGATTTGATCAAATTCGATCCGGTGCGCTAAAGTCGATCTATTCGATCTACTCAAATCTGATCTGCTACGATGGTATATGTGTTCAAGTAAAGTTTGATTTTTGTGGCTAATATATATGACTTGGTCTTTAATCTAATTTATTCTAGGGTTTACTTGTAGGGACTAAACCCCACTTAATTCCACCAAAATGAACCTTAGGCACTTTGGTGGCTTCATATCTTCTCTGACCTCGTGTATAACTCCGTCAAACAGTAATTAATAACCTCATCTTATTTTTATTGTCCTTTTTCATATATTATAGATTTATATGTTCCGTTAAAGATCAAGATCCTTGATTGGGATGAATTTTGAACATGAGATCTTCTCCTTGAAAGTGTTACAGTAATATCATCGAAGCACAATGTGCTTGACCTCGATGTTTCAACACATCGAGACTATTAAGGTAGACTCTTTTTATGAGAATACAACAAACTCTACTTTTAATATTTGGTATATGAAAGAGCATCCAACTATCAAGTGCACTAATTAATTCTAACACAGTAGTTCAATAAATATGCTGACATTTATTAGGCTCAGGGATACAAGGAGTTTCAATAAAACACAAAAGACTCTAAGCGAGTTGAAATAGATTATGTTCCAAAAGATGCAACAAAGTGTAGTTTTATACTTTTATTACGTTTAAGAGCATATACATGATGTAATGCCTTGTGGAATTTAACAAAAATAACTTAATGAGCTAACTTTTTATAGATTAGTATACAAGGCAATTGGAGGTTTCATGAAACAAAATTATCTGAAAATATACTTTTATAATACTTTTCTGAATGTAATGCCTTGTTTTCATATATTTGACATGATCTTATTTTTTCTTTAAAAAAATACTTTTTTTTTTGTTAAAAAACAACCAAAACTGAGTTTTCGGGTTTTTCTGGTACGGTTCTATACCGGAGTTTTCCGGGTCAGTCGGTTTTTTTTTTTTTTTTTTGGTTTTTGACCACTTCCGGGTTTTTAACTAACCGAACCGGATTTTAGACCAGGTCTCTGAGTTTCGGGTTGGGTTTTTAGACATAGATTTCAGTTAGATGATCTTATCAAGATTTTGAATTTCTCCCAAAAAAGTTAGCATGATAAAAAAAGTGGTTGATCTGTATTTATACATTCAGACAATGGGGTCCTGGGGAGAATCAACTTTTTTCTCCCAAAAGTGAAAGTCAGATCAATCTTTCCTAATGTTATGCATGTATTACATTGGAATAACAACTCTTTATCATATGTGTTCATAATTTTCTTATGTTTATATATGAATGAAAGAAATCACCTGCACATTAGGAAAACTATTTTAATACGATTAAAATATCAACTTTCCTAATTTTTATATCAACTTTCCTAATTATTATTATTATTATTATTATTATTATTATTATTATAGTTACGATTATAATTATAATTTTATTTAAATTATATTTGTAATTGCAATTATAATAATTATAATTATAATTATAATTATAATCATAATTATAATCATAGAAACATTCAAATCAGATCAGATCAGAAAGATTCAGATCAGATCAGAAGGATTCAGATCAGATCAGAAACATGCAGATCAGATCAGACCAGATCAGAAACATTCAGATCAGATCAGAAACATTCAGATCAGATCAGATCAGATCAGAAAGATTCAGATCAGATCAGATCAGAAAGATTCAGATCAGATCAGATCAAATCAGATCAGATCAGAACTTAAAAAATTCAGATCAGAAACATTCAGATCAGACGAAGAGAACAGCTTCTAAATGACCAATGTGTAAGAAGTATGCTTTTAATCACTAATGGAGTTGCGAGGGTTGTTACGTTGGTCAAAGTGCATGGCTATAGATTAGTGTTTAAACAGCATGAGGAAAACTAAAATCTGGTCCATCCCGAAAAGAAGAGATCTTTAGACTATATCACCGAATCCTGAAATATGTCATAAGTCATAACTTTAGAAGATCCAAATGCTCCTTCTGGAGTTTTTTTGGAGCACTGCCCTGCTGCCCTACCCTCTGAACCTGTCCAAATCATAGATGCTGAAGATAAAGAGATAGAGGTACTGAACCACATGCTTATGGCCCAAGATTGTAGATGTCCGCTCTCGTTTGACATATTACCTCCGTCCCGTTGAACTTTGCCGGTTTCTGGGAAATAAGAAAAGTAAAAAAGGGAAAGTTTGGCAAAGTCCATGGGACTGAGAAATTTTACCTCAGAAGAAGGGTCCTTAAGGACTGTCTGCCAAGAAACTGATGTTTCCTCGGTTGCCAAAAAGGACGAATGGCAGCGGACACATATAAGAAGTTTTTGGAGGTAGACAGTTGAGCATTGGAATTGCATGTTGCACCAACTGCATTTAGTCCAAACAGTGTTTCTCTCTGGCAAGAATAACATTAGTGGTTGTGGTGGAATGGATGTTAGTTGGATCTTACTGGCAGCATAAGATCTACAGAAGACGTTCTGACAAGTTGCCATAGCAAGCCTTTGCCGTCGTCTATCATAAGTAGCTCTCTTAGTATGATCTGAAAACAAACTGCATACTTGCACAAGTATCCAGAAAGCACCATTTGCCCCACAAAAGTCATTGTTGTCCGGGGTTGAGTAGTAGAGATGTGGCTATTTGTGTGCAATGTCTTCTGTGTCTCATCATCAACTAAAGAGTCCATCCGGGGTTGAGTCGTAGAGATGTGGCTATTTGTGTGCAATGTCTTCTGTGTCTCATCATCAACTAAAGAGTCCACTTCAAGGACAGCATACCAGTCAATTTCTTCTCAAAGTTGACATAGATGTTGATCACGTCAAGAAGTTTGCTCAGGCCATCAAGGCTAGGAAACAGGTTTTGGGTTTTCAATGCAAGCACTTGGGCTCCAGCAAAGTCCTTTTCTAACACCTTTTTTTCTGCAAGCTCTTTTGCCATGAGGGATTACGCTTTATAATATTCCATTTCTTGTTCACGTAAAATGCTGCAAAAAGGAAAAGTTAAACAGAGTTATTCCCTCATGTTTGGATTTACCTGAATAAATGGAAAGAAAATGAAAGACGATTGATGGTTTTAGATTCTTTACATATATTTAGATTGCTTAGTAGTACTTATATGGTAGAAATGGATAAACAATTAAAATGAATTCAAAAAATATTAATTTTTTAATGCAATATCAAACAATGTTTTAAATCTTTTTTCCCCAACATTAATTTCTTTCCTTCAAAATTTCTTCGATACTAGAAAACATTGAAAAACAGTTTTAAGAAAGGGGTTTCTGAAATGTGTTTTAGAGGTGGAATATGGTTCCTATAAGGCACCATATAATCACTTATAAACGTAATCAACAGTGGGAGAGTTTCGTTGACAGATCAAAATCACACCCTAACAAATAGACCAAACAAGCATTGAAAGGAAACAACATGTTGATAAAGCGCTTATGAGCAAATACAGAAGTTGTGATCAGGAAACAACATGTGCTTAATAAATTCAGGAAGCAAAACCCCCCGCTTCACCTACTAAGTAGAAACTCGATGAATACTCTCTGCTAACGCTAGAATGGTTTATGATCATAATTATATAATCACTTTATCAAACTTGGATTTTTTTTGGGAAAGAAGTGTGCATGCTTTTATTATTTTTACTATATTAGACAAATCATGTCGGTGTAGACATAGTTCTTGAACTCTCACGTTGAAAATTTAATGCATGTTTTTAGATCTATAATCTCATAATCGTTTTATGTAAACACGCTTATATAGATCCATCAAATCTTCATCTTGTTCTTAAGATGATCTCAATCAAAGTGATATCAACTCAAAATCACAGCAAACGTTCAATTCCTTACATAGAAAATGAAAATGTTTTTTTTTCACACGTGTTTTTAGATAAATCTAAATTTCAAAAACATCACCAGCCCAAATTTCAAATGGCTTCTAAAATAAGTGGAAAATCAATGAAATATTTAAGCATCCCGGAGAAAAAAACTTAACAAAGTACAACTTAACAGATGCACATTTATAGATAGAATCATGCATCATAGTTCATAGCATACACAGTTAAATTATATGTAAATTCAAATGAAAAATGACGAATTGCAGAAAAGTTTACTTTAAACCTCCTGGCCTGTAAATAAATCAAACTTCAGCACACAAAAATTTTGAAACCCGAAAATTAGACACTTTTTGCCCTTACAACTACAGATAGATATGTATAATTTAGACGGACAGAGAAAACGTCTGATCAAAACATTAAAAAACTATACAATGAAAAATAACATGTATATCAATCATTTTGAGTAATGTACCACTGCTTAAAGTGAGCTACTTTTTTTGAATTTCACCCTCATATAAATGGTTTAACCACTTTTGTTGAACAGAAAGAGGATTAGAGAGTATTTGTGAAAGCCTTGAAGAGTTAGAAATATGCTAATGCATAGGAAAACAGCTGTTATATAATAATAATATAATCAAATACAAAGAGGAGTTTCTTTTCATGTTTTTGGGTGGTTTTATTGGGAACTGTAGTCAGACTTTTTATTTTGTCATCTTGGGGAGGCTACCAAGTACCAACCATGGTCAAATTCAAAACTTGCTTGAATTTGACAAGTAACTTAATGCATATTAACATATTTCCTGCTTTAGTTTAATGATATTTTCTTTTCTGCACTTTTGTAAATTTGCTTTTTCATCAATGGATTTTGGTCTTAATGACCACTTTTCGGATATTCAATTAATTATTTACTAAAACAACCATGTTTGAAACCTGGACGGATTTAGTAACGACATCAAAGTTATTGACAAATTTTAAAAATGTAGTTTGAAGTCTCATTTCATCAAAAATGTAAAAAGGGTGGGAAAGAGCGACAAACCAAAAAATGATCTCTTTTAAATAAAACAGTGAAACTCCAAATTTTCCTCCACGTGATCAAATTCCTATAAGAACATTAATCGGCACTTTTTAACAACTTAATAAGGTGAGATTAACTTATCAGTAAGACATTGAGTTTTTGTATTATGTTTAAAAATTGGTAATGGTTGTTGGATTGCGTCAATGTTTAACTGCTTTGAACTAATGTTGCTGCTTCTCAAGTGAGAAGGCAGTAAAAGAGTTTTAGAGGATTTAACCTGTATTCTGTCACCCCCTTACTCTTACGAGTAAAAACGTTTTTTGTGCAATGTGCATGAATGAGAAATCCAGTGGACTAATACCTCTGGCTCTGAGCTGTCAAATGACATAACTAATGTACATTCTTTTTTTGGTGTGGGGACAGATTGAAGAAACTTTAACCCCCCCCCCCATCAGCAAGCCAGTGAGAGGTCCGTGCACGATAAGAATGAACCGAATAATTTTAAAAATCTGCACAACATTTCTTTTTTATTGATAAAGGAAATGATATCTAAAAGTAATGGTAAAAAGAATCATTTTTTATCATATGGGTAATGCCATTTCTTTAAATTCATCACCTAATTCAACTAGTATAGTCAAATAAGTAAGTGTTTAGTAGTAAATATGGCTAACAGACGGAAAAAAAATCTACCAAACTTGTACTACGAAATGATGACAGAAAGAGGTTCATGATATATCTGATAACATCAGTCTACAATCTGCGGTGTCATTCTAATTTAACTGAATTATTCTAAAAACAATATGTAAAAATTAGATTTTTACAAAAATAAGGTAAAGCCATAAAAGTGTCATTTTATTTCATTTCACGACCTAATTCAACCATTATAGTAGAACAAAATAGTGCTTGGTAGAAAATAAACGGGAAATACAATCACCTTCTATAGAAAATGTACCACGAATGATCATCTTTCAAAAATAAGGGTAAAGCCGTAAAGGTGTCTTTTTCTTTCATTTCACGACCTAATTCAACCAGTATAGTAAAATAAAATAGTGCTTGGTAGAAAATATGGCCAATAAACAGGAAATACAATCACTTTCTGTAGAAAATGTACCACGAAACGATGACAAAGGTTCATACTCAATCAAATAAATATCATCCTGCAATCTTCTTTTTTACTTTTTCATTTTGATTATATAAATCTCTCATATTGTTGGACAATCCATTTCTTAAACTATGAGCACATACACTTGGTATGTCATGAATCATGGTTTTACAGATAAGATATACATTGAATGTCTAAATGACAACCCAGCAAAACCTAGTCATCTATATACATCTCTTAGTTGTTCCTCAAGAACAACATAAACTAGATTCAAAAGAATGTCTGCAGATTTCTGAACAAATAATGTCCCATACTTTTTTTCTTCAATAATCCACTAAATTCAAATATTACAGCAAGTTCAGGTGCAAATCCACATGCAATGTGACCAAGAAAGGTACTTGTAAGGAAGTGCAATTATTTCCATGGTTAGAGTTTACAATTTGACATAAGGAAAAAAAATACTATGCAGCTTCAAATAGATAAAATAGCATATTGGCATAAGTGAAATTGCTTGAAAAACTAGCTCGAACAAATTATGAAAAAGAACGAAGATTGATCTGAGGTCTAGTTACAAAAATATCAAGCTTTACTGGTTGGGACTGCGTTTATTAGCTTCACATTTCTTCCTGCTTAGGAGTTTTTCCACTTTTAGATCTTTGACTGTTGCGGCAATGACACTTTTAGCATTTATTCAATCGTTTTTCACATTTAGTGATAGAGATGCTTTCAGAATCGGTTTTTTATTTTCACTTTTAAACCTCTAACTATTAAGATAATAACATTTTGGTCCTCCAACTACTTTGGGAAAATTAGAATTTAGAAAAAAGTACCAAAAACATAGATGTCACAATAATTAGAGGACTAAAAGTGGAAAGGCTGCTGATAATCAAGAAGGTTGTGTTTAGAAGACCGCTCAAGGCATCCATCAGATGGTTGAACTCCAAGAGCAACAGTGGACTTGGACAGATGAAGTGGGTAGTTTCAGGATTTGCAAACACGAGTGTGCATTTCTGGATAGGCAAGTTGATGCTCAATACCAATCAACAATTTCTCCCACCAGGTTAAGTGGACAAAGGGTTCCCGGGGAGTCATCAAAATATACCCATGTAAAGGGGATGTTTGGGCTCTATACAGTGATTGGTCGCCAAAATGGAATGAGTTCACCCCTAACAGTGTGATCCACAAGTATGAAACAGTTCAAATCCTTGAATAGTTCAACGAGGATGGAGTTGCTAGAGTTGTCCCATTGGTCAAAGTGCATGGCTACAGATCAGTGTTTAAGCAGAATAACGACCCCAGTAAAACCGATCCTTCCCAAAAGAAGAAATTTAAGACTATCGCACCAAATCCCAAAATATGTCATACCTGGGCTATACACAGAAATATTGTAATGCTCATTACATTCTATTTACTTAATAGTTAGATTGTAGAAATAGATAGAAGCTAGTTTTGGCTTTCTTTGTGAACCCTATTATATTTGAGCAACAAACCTAACACATATTACATATAAATAAGCGCTGATTTTTAAGGAGACAAGAAAGTGAATTAAAACTCTAATCTAAAAGTTTGACCACTTATCTGCAATTATATATATAATTTAAACATAAGCACAAGAAAACTATGAACATTTATATGATAAAGCATTTCTATTCCAACGCAAAAATATTATCCAAACATAATGTAGAAGAAATCCAAAACCAACTTTCATTCTTAGGAACTGAATATAAATGGAATGTCTACAACTTACGAGCATCCTATACTGTCATCTCATACATGCAACATGCTACACTACATAAGGTATTTGTTATCAAAATTTCATGGGCACCTGAAATAAAGATTTATCAGTTCATCACTGTTCTGTTTATGTACCTGAGCTTGATTGGCATTACAAAAGAGGCTTGATTGGTTCCCTTCGATAATGGATTAGGTGGCATGATCTCATTGGTCGGTCTTAATATTTATTACAGCTGATTCTATTCTTTTCCGTTTTCTAAAATATGTCAAACGAAAGCGGTTGTCAACAACCTCGGACTCTTGAGCATTTGTTCCCATTTCTGCTTCTTTCTCTTTATTAACATCAATGACTTGGAGAAGTTCTGGTGGCAGAGCAGCAGGGTCGAGTTCA